AATTAGTCCGAAAAACAGAAAAAAGAAAAAATATTCAGAAAATCAGAAATAAATTAGTCCGAAAAACCAACCATAAAAATACGTTTTGAAGTGAATGTAATATGCTTCCGTAACAAAGTGCTTCACAAACATATAAATAAACATCTATATACATAAACAAATGTATACACAATCATACACATACATAAAAAACATATAAATACTAACAAATGAATGAATAAACAAGAGGACAAGTTAAAAAAAGAGATAAAAAACTAAATGAACTATATAAATAGAAATCTATAAAAAAAAAGGTTTTAAAAAGCCTCAGATTCAGTTAATCTGATTGATTGATTGATTGATTGGGGAAGATGATTCCAGCATTATGATGACTCAAACAGTCACAAGACAGTGAGGGGATTCCCCCTTTATTATTTTATAGTTTTATTTTCTGTTTATTTTGTGAGCTCACATGAGTCATAGTTTCACCAGAGTGTATTACAGTTACAGTGACATGGATATTTCATATTATAACAGAACAAACTGAACAATGAACCCAAACAGTGAATGCACTAACTGCAGTAAAACAAGATATTAGGATGAATTTTGAGCTGATTTTGAGTTTTCCTGATATTTTTAGGACAATTTTCTGTCTATATTGTGTGTTTTTATTTAAATCATACATACTACATTCAGCATTTTCTTCTTACTGAGGCTTTGACCATTGTTCTCTTAGCTCTTTGGATGTTTCATCACTTTGAATGAGGGAAACCTCAGTGATTCTGGAGGCTTAAATAAAGCTTTTGAATTGAATTTGAATGGTTTTTACTGCGTACATTTCTAATGGCTGGTCAGCGTTCAGTGTGGATCTATTTCCCAGCTCGTCTGTGGTCTGTACAGTAAATGAATCAAACGGAGACCCCCGTATTGCTAAGTTACTGTAACTGTTCAAAGCAGTATATAGAGTATATAGTATTTACAGTGATAAAAAGGGGCAGACCCTCTGAAGGACAGGGTCTGGTTTCATAGAGGGGTTTTTGTGTGTGAGTCATACTAAATCAACGCTAAATAAATATAATATGTGTCAGTGAGTCATTATCACATAGTTGCTCACTGAATGTTTAGACTTTTTTTCTTATCAGTGTAGATGATAAATAGTTGGCAGGAGCTCCCTGTGGCCGACTTCCAACAAGGAGTGTTATGAGGAAACACCAGTCTGACCGGCTCTCAATAGTACACATACACATAAAAACTATTTATGACATAATGGAATCACCTAATGTCGTGATCATTAGCTTAATTGAAAGCCACATGCTTTAAAACTGAACTCAGCTATTTACATAGAGAGTGAAATGAAGAATGTGGCATGAAATATGTTTCTTATGACGAACGTCCTCTCTGGATAGTTTAGTCTGTGTTGGTTTTGGTTGTGTAGCGTGAGAGTTCAGTCTTATCGAGGCTCTTTATCTGATGAACTCACTGCTCATTATAGTTCTAGTTTCCCACAGACAGACAGACAGTAGATACAGTCAGAGAACAGATGGTAACCGCAGTGGAAAAAACAGCTCACAAAGCAACTGTTGAAAGCTATGTGTTTTTAGCTGCTTTGTCCTCAAGGGACCATTTACCATCATTGAATGAGGTGTGAAGAGACATATTCACATAACAATAACAGGACAGAACAGCTGATAAACTGAACAATAAA